TTTAATAAATCGTACAAGCCGATTAACGATACGAAATGACCAGATATCCGTTTGCGTGTGCATCGTACGTGTTTCGCGATAAATGTGCGCGAGCAAGGACTGATGTAGGGCAATATTGTCGCAAGACCCTTTCTCCAAATAAGCGCGCGAGGGTAATTTCGGATGGACGCATGCGGAAACGGCGAATAAATAAAACGGGGATAAAGCAGAACGGTCGCGAAATACCACGAGCGGCTGTATGACCGTAATACATTCCGCGACGGCGAGCTACGTACCGAGTGACACGGAGAAACGAAATTTCGCGAACGATGGCTGCATTCTGCCCTTTCGCAGGCATAAGCAAAGCTAATCGCACCTTTTGCCGTGGATACGCGCAACGTGGGAAGATAGGTGGCCGTGTCCAAATTTAGTTGTCGGCGAGGAAATTCATTTTGCGTCTAGTGACGACCGACCAATTACCGTCTCTTTTTCCCCCCTCCCTCTCTCTCTATCTCTTCCTCTCCTTTCTCCGTGCTTTAACGTGTTCTCTTCCTATTTCCCTCTTTCTCTCAAAAAGCCTCTATGGTCGTGTACATAGGTCACTGTAGCGAAATAAGATCAGCGCGAAATCGGGATAGAGGAGGATGCAGGCGGAGATAATACCAAGAGCAAATGTACAGGGCGTTTCACAGTTGTAAAATTTTGCAAACGCGTAAAACTAAGAAAACCTCACATTTTTTAATAGCGACCCAAAACCTAAGGTGTGAAACAAATGCACGCTGTTAAATCAGTAACGTTTACTCTGATGTCGTGGACATCAGTCCGTCTAGTTATTTAGGGACAAAAAAGATTAATGTTTGCAAGTTTATCTCATCAAATAAAAGTAGGCTTAAACGGAAGTCCCGAGACACCTTGTGGAATGTAAGGAGGAATTGAGAGGACTAGGTGGGTGATGAGAGATAGAGCTAGAGTAGAAAAAATAGATTAATGTTTGCAAGTTTATCTCGTCAAATAAAAGTAGGCTTAAACGGAAGTCCCGAGACACCTTGTGGAATGTAAGGAGGAATTGCGAGAACTAGGTGGATGATGAGAGATAGAGCTAGAGGTAAAAAAAATAGACTAATGTTTGCAAGTTTATCTCGTCAAATAAAAGTAGGCTTAAATGGAAGTCCCGAGACACCTTGTGGAATGTAAGGAGGAATTGAGAGAACTAGGTGGATGATGAGGGATAGAGCTAGAGTCATGAATATTTATATCATGGCGGATGGTTATATCGCGGCGGAAGCTTAAGAAAAAGGGACACCGTCGCTACGTACGCAGGAACTGTACTATAGTACGGTCGTTGCAGAATGCGGCGAATAAGCGCGGTTCATAATGCATGGCGCGGGTATGCGCCATGGTGCGACACGTAATATGCGCGACACGCGTTAATTGTATACCGTGTTATTCGTTGTATATGTAATCGTGCTCAACGTGGAATTAGTCGGGCCGCCCTTACACGTGTCCCACGTGACGTAAGGGCCGCAAAATTAGGGCGTAACGAAAGCTACGAGGCATCCTCACCTTTATTTCTCATCATTCATTCGACGCCTGTCTTTCGTATCAAGCAAATCAGATTCGAAAGTCATGATCGTACTTGATTATAAAATTCTGGGGGTCAATTCTGTATCTTACACTGTAGTGAAGATGCTAAAAGTGGGCGACTTTGTCTCTTTCTAAGGAGATGGCTAGAAAGAGACAAACTTTTACTAGCTCTTAGCATTTTCATTACAGTGTAAGATACAGAACTGACCCACAGGACTTTCGTCAGACTCTCCGTCAAATCCCCATTTCGTGAAATATTCTAGTATCTAGTTTCTAAATTACTTGGCATACAGCGTGATTAAAATCCAATTTATGCAATAACGACGTAAAAACTTCGCGAAAGATATATCTAAAATTGCAAAAGGAAGTGGAGAAAAAGATATAAAAGAGAATTATAACGGAAATATTTAACCGCAAGTGGCGTTGACTCGAGAGTAGAGTCGCAAAAAAGCGACAACGTTATAGACGAACCGATAATAATAAACTGCGAAGCGAAGCGTATAGCGAAATATGTATATATAAATATATAATGTATCGTCCAGGTTTGTAAGGAACTTCACTGTGCTCTGAAAAATAAATAAGTGCACACGATGTACACAGTTTGAAAGTTATCCAGAATCGTATATACCCGGAACGATCGCAATGTATTGATAGCAATCCACTCTTAATTGGCAGAAATTCAATCGATGTCAGTTCCTAATATTCGCATGGACAAGCTTTATAAATTTAATCTCTGTTAGGATTCAGCAAATTGAAGATGATTGAACGGACACATCCGACAGTTTTAGGACACTTTTACATATTCTCGCGATACCGCTCGTTCAAGATTAAACGTTTATCCTCCCTCGCCCTGCGACCCGTGCGTTTCCCCGACAACGAAAAACGCGAATTAGAGCAACAACCCGTTGGTGCCGGAGGCACGCGACGCGACGGCGCACGCACACCACGATGTCTAAGCGCGAGCAGCAACGATGCACCGTGCATTCACTTGGCTGGGCGATAGATAAGCGTATAAGTTGAAGGCATAGTTCGCACAGCACACACTTTATCGAGGCTCATATACGCCAAAGGCCGCTCGTGAGGAGGCGCGCTAAATTGCTACTTAATTGCCAGCGATGGAGCCGTTCGCGTTCGTGCAAACGCGCGGGGAGAACGAGTCACGCTAATCGACCCCGATGCATCCCATCGAGCGGCGCGATGTATCGATACCCGACATCGAAAACGCGCGCACGAAACAACGTTCCGTCCGACAGGAACGGCGCGCGATCGATGAAACGATCGGCCCAGTCGCCGATTCTATTCCAACGATTTCAATCTGCCCCCGCACGTGTGCTAAAAAAAGAAAATAATAACGGCAACTTTCAGGAAATGGGGTATCGGGAACGAGTTGTCCTAAATCGCGCTAATGCATTTTCAAATGTAACATACTGCGCTCTGGCCCGTGACAATAGCCGGGAAATATTTACAAGTAATGACTCAAAATGTTACAGGCAACAATGTGTGTAATCACAATTTAACAAGAGATTTTAAAAAATTTTAATTGCCATCAGAATTTCATTCTCTTGAAATCAAGCGCCGTATATAAATTTTACATTAAATTTTATATATTTTATATCAAAGTTTTTACAAAATTGAAATAATATTGCCTCAACATCGCTCGGGCTCGTGTTTTATACAATGATTTATGGACATTATGGATAATTTTTCAAAAAACGAAATTGCCGCTCGAAATTATGGTGCCATTAATAACGTTATCATCGTGCCCATAAAAAGATACGGACGAGCTGTAGTTATGCCACCGCTAATAGGTCATGCGACGCAACTAGTTAGGGGTTAATCGAAAGTGGTGCAATCGTGCGCGAGGCGCGATACGTGGCGCGTTTCCGATTCGTGTAAATCGTGAAACCGAACGCTACGACTCCTTCACGTGACAATCAAACTGCGGTCAAGTGCGGCGGCGTGATTGCTGGAAGCGATGTGCATGAAGCGCGATAAAAGCTCGATATGGTCTTCGTCATAAAGCGGCTTCGTTATCTGCCGTACGAGCATGCAAGCAACGCGTCTATCACGACATAAAGAGATCCCTCTTTTTTACGCGAAATACACGCTGCCAGCAGGCCAGAAATTCCCACAAATATATGCAAATTGGTTGAACAAATGAACGGAAAGATCCGAGTTGAAATCCACGGACACCGCTGGTTTTTTTCGGAATCTCCCGAAGGGAAGTGGCAATCACCGAGCGTATCCTGCCACTCTATACCCCTTTAGGGGAATAGCCCTCCAGATTGGAGGTTTTCTTCGGCAAGATTAGCAGCCTACCGAAGTTGAAGTAGAACCAAATGCTCAAAGTACCAGAACGAACTGGATAAAACAGGCTTTGAGCCTAATACACGAGGAAGAAGAAGAAATACACGCAAATTATGCAAATATACTGTCCCAGGTAAGGTCAATATCCTGGGAGGTGATAGTATCGGTGATTTTAAGGAAAAATGTTCATACGAACATACGTTCCATTCCCCACTGTTTCCGGGATAGAGCACATTTTGTTGACGTCCTCGTTCAGATAAAACATGAACACGGGAAAGCGTTCCACTTTCACGCAATGCATTAAAAACCTTGGAAAACACTTTACGATCCGGAATCCTGCGTGCAGGAAAGCGTCGACGGTATTCTTCAACAGCAGCAGTAGCATGTACTGCACATTCGACAATTGCGAATACGCGAGGCACTTTGAGCATTTCTACATGTTATCAGCACAACAGTCAACAGACGTATAAGAGTAAATTCCCGCGGACGTTTATGAGGTTGGATAAAGGGTGAAGTGTACAGAAAAAAAAGTAACTGCACGAGACATTCAAGTAGCTCTATCTCGAAAACAGTGGGGAATGGGACATATATTCGTATGAACATTTTTGCTTAAAGTGACCGATACTATCACCTCCCGGAATATTGACCTTTCCTCCCGGAACACCCCGTACAGATGTATGTACACATTTAAAGATTACATTGTACGTCACGTGCAAGCGATTACCGCAAGGAAAGAATCCTGACGTTGCAGCCGGACGTGATAAAGCGTCTTTTCGACGGAGCCCCGTCGCTCTGATATAAATATGCGAGACATCGCGACGCACATTTCTCGATACGCATCTTCGACGCGACTGATAACGAAGCCGCATTAAGGCCTTCACACACGAATCTACTTAACATGTAACACGTAAACCGCAAGGAAATCCCCTCTACATTAGGGGAACAGTCGACTCTGATTGGAGGATCTCCTTGCGGTTTACGTGTTACGTGTTAAGTAGATTCGTGTGTGAAGGCCTTAACGAAGATTGCGCGACGCTGGTTCTACAATAGACGCGGCCGGTCGCAAGCCGCAAGAAATCGGCCAATAACGGCCGATTATTCTTCTCATATTTGGCTGTGATCGGTTGATTTCTTGCGACTTGCTGGGTCTATTGTAGGAACCATCGTAAGACGAAACGCCGTGCCCGCGACAATGCATCGCGCCGGGCGATATATTTACGCGGACGAGAATTACTCCGGTGTAGGCGGTGGACATATGTTAGCGCGGGCACCCTGTGTATCTTGCCGGGGCTTATATAGTAGGAAGGCCGGTTATTGGGTGTACGAGAATAGAGTGCATCGCTCTCAAACGGAACATCCGTCTAACCGCGCCGACCCGCTCGCGGATGCACGCGGAGATGCAACACGATCGCGCACCGAAGGACGCGGGCCCTGTAGGCAGATCGCGGCCGACGTATCGCCGCGTCAGGTAATTCCGTCGCGTGCTGCAGCGTCGTATTTTACATCAATTACAAGTTGACAGTAATAGATTATTCGTATATTTAATACAGCGTGATGCGGCGTATTTCCTCAGCAGAAGAATGTGACCGTAGGTAAAGCGATATTTCTGAGTTACGTGTATGTGTGTCTTGCATGATAAGAGAAACGAGTTTCAATATGTTATTAATCCTCATTAAGATCTGATAAAAAACAGCCCGCTTAAAGACATATATTACAAATTACTACTTTTACGTATAATTCGTTTGAAATGTAGTAGAAAGCTCTCGCTGGAAAGCTGTTGAATAGCGAATTCGATTGCTTGCACTAGCGCGCACCGAGTGCACACTAAGGCCTGTTTATAGTCAATTTTTATCCTTAAAAACAGGAAGAAAAATTGTTTGACGACGTTAAACTGGCTAGGGTGGTTTAATTTAACAATTTATTCCGACCTTTCGACCGGATTGTGGTCCTTTTCAAGGAAATATATGGATTAGTTAAAAAAGTTGTCCTCAGGCACTTTAACGTCGTCAAACAATTTTTCTTCCTGTTTTTAATCAATTTATACTTAACTGTGTCTTAAATACATGTTTAAAGAGTATTTAGCCACAAAATAATCCGCATAAATGGTAATATAAATTATTTTACTGGCTACGAAATGTTTCAAGAGATATTCAAGACAATTCTTAAATATAAGAATTGCCTGTAAACGAGCCTTAGTGTACACTCAGTGCGCACCAGTGCAAGCAACCGAATTTGCTGTAAGAAAAATTGTGTTTTGACCAGTTAAAATACGTAAAAAAAGTACCTCTGCTATCTAAAGAAAAACGATGATTTATCGGAGCCAAATAGACGAGTTTCGTCACTTGGAATAATAGATTATCGCAAACGGCCACAAAATCCGCGATAAAACGTCGCGCTGAAAGCTGTGCGCTAAATAGTGGCCGCGCCGCGAATAGAAAATACGTAATTACCGCGCAAACGTTAATAAAAACGTATAAATGGAAGCACGAGAGCCAGCTTCCGATAACTTCTTCATTAAAAAGAGGACAGCTCCGTTTCTCAAACGCGTCTCGAGCGAGACCGTCCAATTGCGCGAATAATGTTCTGAATCGCTGGAGCCGTTCAACACGAATGATCGAAAGGAGCGAGAGAGGCGATACACGCTAATTGCGCAACGTGCATTCTTGCGACGGACGGCATTGAAAAGCGCAACGAGCCATTTAAGGTACTTGTCCCGCCGCGCGTTCCCGTTTCGCCGTAAAGAGACGCCTCTGCCGCCGGCTTAAGGTATTCGGGTGAATAAACGGCGGGAGAGGAGGCGCGTTTAAGACCTCTCCTCTCCGTCTCCGATTCGATTAAATCCCGAGCAAGGCCGAATAAAAGTACGGCGCGAGCGGAGGAACGGACGTTATCGAGGCGCTCTCCATAGAAGTCTTCTCGCAGCTCTTTCGCGATCGGTTTAAGTCTATTGCGTTGCCACTCGACGGAGCCTTACGGACGGGTAAGCCCTGGCAGAACGGCGCGGGATAAAAGCTAAAAGCGTGTAAATTATAGAGGGAACAGCGCGGCGAATTCTTCGGAATCGCTCGCGTATTCTTCGCGCCCGTATGACCGTTTAATGCAACGTGAAATCGTTATCCGAGTCGTGCCATTAGACAATTACACGTTCATTGATTTTACAATAACCGGATATTAACGCAATTATACAATAATTACCCTAAATTGTAAATTGCCGCCGATACTTTCGGCACTTTACAGAGGCGTGGTACTTGCAATTACAGACTTTAAGTCTTCCAAGTCTCATTTTTAATCGCTAATTATTTTAACCTGATACACTATTTAACCCCGTCGCACCTTAAATTATTATATGTAAAAAGATATTTTATTAAGATAAAAGGGATTATTATGCGCACGCTGCGTGCACGTAGTCGACGATAATCCGTATCTCACAACGATCGATTGTAACATTTAGCAAGGCCCATTCGGGTCACAGCCGAGCGGCTGAAATGATCAATACACACAAACGACCTCATACATATTTATTGTTCGCTAAATAGCGCAGGAATCAGGGCGTCATCTCCGTTTCTCGTCATTATTGCAATTATCTATAGGGCACATATGCGTTACTTTTAGGCCCGGTCTGCAATGAGTCGTTAGTCGTTAGTCAGAGCTATATGTATGTCGGTCCTTTTTCTTTCGAGCAAAATTTTTAAATATTGAATCGCCAGTAATTAGTTAACAAATAGCTTGAATAGTCCGACACACCTGGCAACAGGCAACTTCCTTTATTCACGCAACGTTTCGGCCATGGGTTTTAGCCCTTTTCAAGTGCAATCAACAGATTCTAGTCGGCGTATGGCATGTGGTTAAATGCCATTAGGCCCAGTAGAAATAACGCTACGGAGACATTGTGTCTCTCTAGAGACGCGTGATTACTGTGTGGGCGCAGAAATGAGACTTTCTTTCACCCTGAAAGAAAAAGGGTCAACGTACAGTTCCGACTTCTGACTAAGGACTAACAACTCATTGCATATAATAAGGCCCGGTCTGCAACGAGTCGTTAGTCGTTAGTCAGAAGTCAGAACTATACGCTGACCCTTTCTCTTTCACTCTGAAAGAAAGAAGACTCATTGCAGACCGGGCCTTATTCCCGCGAGATCTGAAACCCGCGAGCACGTGGCGAATGGTTCCCGCACCCTCGAGACACGACATCGAGTCCCGTCTAAATTACGCCAATCTTACGCCGGTGCAACGTGGATAGACGAGTCTGCTTGGCGCACCAGCTGCGAATCCTCATAAATATTTATTGCACGTCAAAATAATATGCAAATATAGACGCGCGTACGTTTTCGCGGGCGCGGACGCGCGCGCTTCGTGCCTACGTGCGCGAGACGTCGAGAGTCGTTTTATGACCGTCTGACGCGCAGATTGGGACCGAACGTCGGAGTTGCTACAATCGCAGTCGGCCGTTGCATTTATCGAAACAATGAATCGCATCGAATTCGAAACGGTTCGGCGTCGACGCTCGGGTGGAAATTGTCGCCGTCTACAAATACGGGGAGCTCGGGGGCTGTTAAAAAAAAAATTCCCGTGAAATGTTGAGGTCATATTTATTTTCACCGAGATTTACGTTTGTTCAAATATTATATTTATATAGCTATTTTTATTTGAAACTTTGATAAATAAAAACTTTTGTTCCTTTTAGAGACGATATGAGCACACATATACATGTATCACATCCGTGTACTCGTATACGTTCGGATATAACTTTAATGACAGGAGCCATCGAGCGAAACAAGTCTCATCAATAACTCGCGACATCACTTTTTACGGTGGTTTACCCGCAAAATTTATTTCGCCACTTGAAAAGTTATTGAGACAAGCCCCGGGGAAGAAAAGAGGCGAGAAGGGAGAATTCCTGCTATCACAAAACTTCAAACAATTTATGAACGAGTTTTCAAAAAAGTTTTTTAAATTAAATGAGGTAATTCAGCCTCAGCCTCCCTCTCTCTCTCTCTCTCTCTCTCTCTCTCTGTCTCTTTTCTTTTTTCAACAAGTACGATCAAATCGATAGTTATTATATTCCATCGATTCAATTATTAATTTTAAAAGGGTTATAACTTTGTCGATTCACGACTGTACTCTCAATTACACCACTTTATCGTTCGCAAAAATTTTACCCCGCACACTATAACGAATCGAACAATTTGAAACAATGATTTTCCCCAGGCTAATTGCTACCGATCGCGCGCTCCATTTATAATCCGAGCGTATACACACACGTATATCGTGCCCGATCGATATGAGCATAATAACGCAAGAAGAGAAATTTAATTGCCTCCGAGAACAACGCAGCTGGCGACAGTCCACCTGAACGATGACGGGTCGCGAGGAAACTTAAAAGAGAATAAAAAGAAGGGGCATGAACTTGGGGGAAGAACTTGCCGGTGAGCATTCCTCCGTTCTGAACTCCACCGTAGGTCGACTCATCCGGAGCAGAAATGTTCCCACGCTTCGCTCGCGAATGCGCTCCGAACTGCAGGGCGCGCTCCGCCGGCCAATCACGCTTCCACTTCCGCTCGTTCGCCGTTCAGTAGTTATTCATGGGCAGGCAGGCCGCGGCGACGCAGCCGCAATTGAACATCACAACACTTTCTCCGCGTTTTATTCCGCCGCGAGAGCGACGAGTCAATCCCGCTTAATTAATGCCGTCCATCGTTTCACTCGCGAAATGATCATCCAGCGGTTAAAATATCTCTACGTTTGCGTACGTCGATGATTAATAAATTTAAATACACAGGGTGTACCTAACCTGGCGAAAAAGATTTTAATGGTAACCTTTTTAGACGAAAATTCTAATGCGAGGATGTCGGGACTGCAACAGTTTTCAAATGGGAAGAGTTTAAAGATCTCGAATAAC